CAAAGGGAGCGTAGGGCGCTGGTGGCCCGAGGGAATATGCTGGCTCGCAGGTTCGCGTATTGTACAGGTGAAGTAAAAGTGACCTTGTTCAAGTCATACTGTCAATCGTTTTACTGTAGCGGCCTGTGGGCTAGGTATACCCAAAAGACCTTCAACAAGCTACGCGTCCTTTATAACGACATGTTTAGGATGCTGTTGGGGTTGCCCAGGTACTGCAGTGCATCTGGTATGTTTGCCGATGCACACACTGGCTGTTTTTATGCTGTAATACGCAAAAAAATAGTTTCAGTGAACCGCAGAATGCTGGGGAGCCCCAACAGCATACTTAGGACATTAGCCGATAGACCGGATAGTGCCTTACAGAGGTATTGGGTATCGGCTCTTATAAATCCTGGACATGTACATATATTTAATTAATTCGTTTTTATTTTGTATTTATATTTGGTTTTTTGATTCATTATAATTTTTATTGTATTTATTATTTTGTGATTGTGTACAAATTATTACTAACATAGTTTCTAAGCATTTGTTGTAAATGTAACTAACACCATGGACCCATGTAGTCTTAATAAATGAAATTTTGAATTTGAATTTGAATAATGGCTTCATCGTTTTCGTTCAGTATAATCAACTTCTGTCAGGTGTCAACTGTCAAATTTGGAAAAATGGAAAAATCTTAGACTATGAAAAGCTTAGAGGATGGAAAAAAATAAAAGAAAGGAGCTGCCCTAAGTACAGAATCAACATGCATATTACCAAAATTTGAAAGTTACAAATGGCGGATTTCTTTAGTGTTGTACCATAATCTATCGATAAGTCATTATCGACATGCAAATGTATGGCTTGAATTTTTGTTTCTTTAGTTTACTGTAACCAAAGTATGCCTAAACATACACAAGTCTGATAATTTAATCTCGAGTGGTATATTATTATAAATGTCAACACACATTTTTAAACTTCAAAAAAAATTTATTTTCAACATTACAACTGGTAACTTATTTAGTAAAAGTCACCAAACTGCTGTGCAGTTTGTTGGCGACATGCGCATTCTTGCTTAATTATACCTACTTTACTTGGATTTAACATTACGTAGTATTAATTGTACTTACTAAATAAAATATAAAAATTACTTTAAGAGGTACGCCTTTAACCTACATTTTAGTACATATTTACATAACGTCTTTTAACTAACCGTCAAGTACAAGTCTATTCAGGTTTCTGCGGATTCTAGTATTCCAGTTAATTCCCGGGCTTGAAAAATGATGGAATGAATCTATCAAGCAATTTTAACACATAAATAATGGAAGTAGTTGTAAAAATCAATTATCGAAAATCAACAATTATCATGTACTAGCTTTTCCCCACGACTTCGTCCGCGTACAATTTTTATACAAATGAAAAATATTCAAGTATGAACCAAATCGCACCACGTGTTAAAAAGTTACCATACAAACTTTATTACCCCATTTCGCCGCATTTTTTAAAAACTGTCGTGCCATTTTTTTACCATTTTTATTGTAAAATATTTATGCAAAGTTTCGTCTTTGTAATTTTAATTTTTTTTAATTTTTTTAAGGATGACGTAGAAGTTATTGTAGCTGCTGCTATTTATTAATGGGCGCCTATAATTATCCTGTCAGTGAATCCCCGCAATAAAGTTGCAAAAAATAAATGACAAAAACGAACGTGGTGGATGCTGATTATTCCAGAAACAGAACAACATGACATTTTGTTGATATATAATATATACTTCTTTATTTTTTTTGAATAGAGTTATAAAACCAGTATGCATTTCATATGCGGACGGACTAACGTGGGAACGCTATTGGTCGAGCGCCTTTGGTTTGTGATAAGCCGAATGAACTCTATACACGTTGGCGCTCGCCTTCACTCGGTCAGCTAGGCGAGTGACACCGAACAAGGCAAGGCAAGGAAAATAGGCTGTCTATACGTTGGTATGTTGTCATTGTATTGCAGGCTTTAAAAAAATAGTCATTTTTAATAGTTAGAGTTGTCATTGGGAAAAATCAGTAACGAGTGGATAATTTTGTTTTCAGGAACTGAGAATAGATAGTAAATGAGTCTTGTTTAATCTAAATTGAACATAAAATTATTTACCAATAAACCTAATGATGGAATAGCATTGTCATGTAATCTAGTTACATTTAAAGTTCTGTTAAAATTTGACTCTTCAAAATGAAGCGAACAAATGAAGATGGTCTTTGATCCAACGTTTATATTCGGCAGTCCTATGATTTCCAACCATTCTTTCTTCCTTTTTTCATTTGTAGGAAAACTTGAAATAATAATAATAAAACAATAAAAACCTCATAGTGAATTGTTTTAATAACAGAATATCGATAATATGTATGCTTACAAGATCAACACTATCTCAAAATAATCGTTAACAACAATCATCAAAATGTACAAACAAACAGGCAATCTAAAGTAACAAAAGCAAAATTTGGCAAGATTTATAAATAAACTACTTAAATAAGTCTAATTACATAAAATATTCGGGCTATTGTGTGATTTATAGACAAAAAAATAACACATGCCTGTGCAATGTAACATTCGATTGATTTGCAGTTTTTCTAAAGCCGCATCCTTTAATGCTGCAGCGTCGCATTTTTATTAATACCTAATTATTCTCACTGTCAATATTTTTGTCCAATTTAATTATAATAAATGTGAATAATTCAATAATACATTTGGAAAAACATTTGTTTTGACATTTGATGTACTTCCCTTTGACAACGGTATCATGTACCTCATGTACTTGAAATGGCCACGGTTGGCATTTAAAATGACGTTACGAATTTTCGATTCCCGTGTTTGACACAGACCAATGTAATGCTACCTCTTTTGGCTTAAGACGGCACGTAATAGTTAAACAAAGACAATAATATGTTTATGTTTTCGACGTCGAAATGCATCATATACATATAACGTCTGATTTATATATGTCAACGTAACATGTCCTTTAGTTTCCATAGTCTAAGATGAAAAGTAAAGGACATGTTATGTTGACATATATAAATCAGACGTTACATGTATATGATGCATTTTTTCGTTTATTCACTTATTATATTATGGCACTCATTTCTAAATCCAAGATGGCGGGCATGATTTATCGAATAATGGCAAGTTGGGTATCGTTTTCCGAGGTATTTGGGGGTGTAACTGAGCTGAAAGATAAAACATCACCGCCGCGCGGTTGCAGCGCGACTAACAGCGGCTAATTTGAACGCGCCCTTATAGTGACGTAATCCAAAGGCCAAAACAATAAGAAAAAAATCACAGACTTGGCTGTATGGTGTCAAACCTTTGCCTTTTCCTTTACGGAATGAATGGAAACGGAAAGTTAGTCTTCTTTCTTTTTCTGTTAGTCGGTAAACATCTGCATTATAGAGAGGTTGTGTACATTTATTTCTAAAATTCGAAATGAAATCCCAATGTACGAACTAAAAAAACTCATGAAATTGGAGTAAAATTAAACAAGAAGTTCAATTATTACCTTTCGGTTTCAAAATAATATGGTAAGTAAATTGCTGGAAGCGAGTTGAGTATATTTATATAATAATACTTTGTTTTCTGTCACAGTTCCCATTCAACCATATCCTTGATGGAAATTGTCCGCACTGTTATTTTAGCAGATTTTTCGACAATTAAAAAAATGTTTTAACATAAATAAGGGTCGTATTCCGCAACTCAACTCAATGCTCAAGTCAGCACTTGAGTATGATTTCAAGCACTGGAAATACGACCCTAATGGCAAGGACTTGAGTATGATTTCAAGCACTGGAAATACGACT